GGGAGGAATCTTGGGGCCATCTTTCGGGCGATCGATCACAGATGGGGCGAGCGCCTTTCTTCCCCCCCCCGTCGGGGCCAGAATCCTCGTGAGGGGTGTCGAATTTTAGCCCTCCCAGGAGTCGAAAAAGACCCTTCCAACCACCCGCGAAACGCCCTCTCCAGGCCCAGGGGGAGGGGGGAGGGGGAGGGGTAAACCCCTCCCCGAAGGGGAAGAAGGGGAGTTGAGAACAGAGAGAGTTCGCTAAACCACTCACGCCCAAAGGGCTGGTGGGATTCAGGGAGCAGTGTGCACCACCAACAGAGGGTGGCATCAAGGCGCTCCAGAAGCTTACCCAAGGTAAGCCACCGTCAGGCCTCAAAGCCTGGCCCGATGGACCCACATGAGGTCCACTCAGGCTGCTCCTACGCGGGGAGACCAGGACAGCTGCGGAGGCGCGAGCGCGGGAGGAGGAGGAGGAGGAGGAGGAGGAGGAGGAGGAGGAGGAGGAGGAGGAGGACGATGCCGACCCAGAGGGCGCGAGGGTGGCGAGGAGACCTCTCCGCTCCCGGTCCAGGCCCACCGGCACGGCCCTTGGCCCCGGCTAGGGCTCCGACGCATGCCGAGCATACCGGAGGAGACCCCTTCGCACGCCCGGGCTCGGAGGGGGGGGGGCGGGCCGGCGGTGCCCTCAAGAGGAGCTTGCTCTTCTGTCGCAGAAGTCACGGGCAGGGGCGACGCATCGGCCCCCAATCGCCCATGGATCACCGACAGGGGCCCCAGGACACACTCCGCCCGGAAACTGATTTGCTAGCTGGGGGGGACCATCGCCGATCTGTCGGTGACGTACTGCCGATGTCAGGTCGAGGTTCCCCCCCCGAGCCAGGCACCCCCAACGTGCCCCTCATTGGCCCGCCCAGGGGGGCCATGAATGAATGATGCACGGCGGAAAAAGGCCCGGGGGAAATGGGTCGGAAGTTCTGGGGGCCCACGTCGTGAACAGAGAGCACGGGCCGCTGGATATGTGGGATCAGCGTCTCGAGAAAGGCAGAGCGTCCGACTCTTCTGAAGCCGGGCCTCCCGAGGCGCGCTGAGGCGCGGAGTCCGTGCGCATGTTGAGGTCGAGAGCTCTGGCACAGCGCGTGCGAAAGGCGCTGGGGGAGTATGTTGCCCTGTGCTAGGCGCCACGTGCGGCTTTTCGCAGCGCTTCGCTCAGCGAAAATCGAGCCACAGAGTGTTTACTGCCAAGACGCGAGGGTGTAAGGGAATGAAAGGAGGAGGGGGCATGTGTGCTCAGTTGCAGGGCTTGCGTGACAGCGGCGGCATGGACAGTTGCCCGCGCGGCTCCTGATGGCAATCTGCCCGTCTCCCAGCGGCCACAACTCACCCCTCTCCTGCATCTCTGGAGACCCCGTCTGTCACGTCTGGTAGTGGCGATTCGGGCAGGGCCCCTGCGCAGGGGCGAAGCGCTCGAGTCGAGAAGCAAGCAGCACCACTTCACGGTGGTCGTCGTCGCCGTCATCTTGGGGCCACCTTGCGTCCTTCTTGCGTATGTTCGCTGCGTGCTGCCTCCGTGTGTCCATGTGGCGAGCGAGCCTGAGAAGGCGCTATCTTTCGCTGGCCGCCGAAACGTGCAAACCGATGCCCCAAACATCATTTACGTACATATACTCAGAGTCTGGCGTTAAACGGGCTTGCGGTAGGGATGCTGAAGCTGGTCTTTCTACCCAAATCCGTCGCAGAGTTTGGTCCAGACCCTTTCGGTACCGCTTTTCCCGTGTCCGACAGCGTGAAGAGCCCGACGCCGAGCAAAAAAACAGCTGGGCTCTCGATCCCGTCCTCACCGTGTTTTCTGCTCGAGCCGAGCTCGATCTGCCAGGGACCTGGGGCTCGAAGCGTTGCACAAGGGCTCCCGTCGTTTCCTTCCCACGGCGCCTTGACGTCAGGGGATCCGAAGCCACGTCCGCATCCTTTCCCCCCAGGCCTCCCTACTGGGCCCGAACAGCTGGGGATCGGAGGATCGCGCTGCATCGCCGATGCATCAGCGATGTTGCTCGATGGACGGGCGGATCCCGACGGGCAGGGCGGCCGGAACCCAACGGGCGGGTCGGGCTTTCGCTCCACGCCGCCTGGCCGAGTGGTCCCTCCAGGCGGCGTCCCACACGGGCGCCTCGGCCTGCACCCCCGAGGCACGCTCGGGCACGCGAGGCGGCCGCCCAGTCACACACAGCAGCGATGGCTCCACGCAGCTCGATGTGGAGCCCGATGCTCGCCACGCCGACGTCGCCGAAGTGTCCCCGAAGTGTCGCCGACGTCGCCGATGCATCGGCGATGCGGCGCGATCCTCCGACCCCCATCTGCTCGGACCCCACTCGGGAGGCCTTGACCGGCTCTCGCCCCTCGGTCCCTTGGCATCGCTCGGACGTGTGCATTTTCTTTTCGGCGAGGACCATCGAAGAGCAGCTTGAATCATCTTGCGAAGAAAGACACGCACGAAACCGAAAAACGCACGGGGAATGGACGTCCGAGCGATGGCGAGGTCCAGCTCCCCCAACCGCCCCTCAGGAGGAGGCCGCGGCGGAGGATGCGGAGGAGCCCCCCCCGCGGCGGCGCTGCGCGGTCAGCCGACGCGGTCTGTCCCGCCCAGAGGCTCGAGCACCCTTCCAGACCACCCAGTGCAACAGGAGGAAGCCGTCCAGGCTGGAGGAAAGAGACCTCCAGGTCGGGTGTCGAAGCCTCCATCTCCGATGCCCTGGCGGCCTCAGGACCTCTCTGGGGCAGACGGGAGACGCGCATCGATCGGCATTTGGGGGACGGAGGGCAGGGAAACTCGGAGCTCGGGTTTCCGCGAAAAGATACCAGAGGGCATCATTGCTGGGGGTGTGCCCTACGCTGAAGACGCTATGCAGACCACGGCGGGCAGGGCAGGGAGGGGAGAAGGAGGGGGGCGAAGGCGAGGGCCGGGGCGAGAGCGATGGAAGGGCAGGGCAGGGGGAGAGAAGGCAGAGAGGCCAAGGGGGCGGGATAGGGAGGAGGGGGATGACTCTAGCTGGCTATCGTGACTGACCCGTTTGCATTCTGTGTTCGAGCAGCATATTGGATGTCTCACAATGTTGTATTCTCGGCTCATATCGGGCGAACTACAAACGTACCCTGCTCAGATACACGCCTTCCCAGCCATGACGCATGCGGAAAGATACGCTGAGCCCGAATTATTGGCGTCAGAGCTCCATGTGGTAAAATTGGACCTTTGAACCTGGTCGCCAAATCGAGGGCCACCAATCTCCCATATGAGCTACCGCTGACTGGGAACCCTCCGCTAGCACCTGTCTCTGGAATGTTCCCTCTGAGTGATCATCTCTGTGCCATCAGTTGCCATAGCCGTCACCAGCGCGGTCATCTGCAGCATAATATCTCCCCATTGCCGACGCATTCATTAAGAGCGGTATCTCCAGTCTGCGAGAACGGATGAGAACGGCTTCTGCATCACATTTGTTTGCTTGCGTACAGAAGAGAGCAAGACCCCCCGTTGCTGCATTCGTGTCCAAGCGTCTAACCCAGCAACAACAGGTGGGCATTGTATATACTCTAGATGCTTCTGTCATTCCACCAGCCCATTCAGAACCGATGCCCAGGCGAGTTGTCCTGATCAGGGATGTGGAGGAGCATGCAGTGGAAAAAAGGGCTGGGCAAGTCGCCATGCCCTACGATGGGCAGGATGGAGGAGGATTCGGAGGGGAGCGGGGAGGAGGGAGGGTGAGGAGGGATGGGGGCAGGAGGAGTAGGAAAAGGCGGACGAGGAATGAGGAAGAGGAGGAGGAGGAGGAGGAGGAGGAGGAGGAGCAGGAGGTGGAGGATGACGAGGAGGGCCAACAGAAAGACCAGAGGCCTCCTGGATGCCTCTAGGACTTCGGATGTTTCTGGAGAGCTTCGCTTGGGGCGTCTTGGGGGTCTCTGGGCGGTCCCGGGGGCCTCTTGGAGCGTCTTAGGTGCCTTGGGTGAGTCTCTCGGTCCATCTTGTGGGAGGACATCGCAATGAAAGGGGGGGCACATGTAGCATTGCCCCTCCAAGGCGCCCAAGCTCGCCTTTTGAACCCCTTTTCGGGCGCTCTTGGGCGCTCCTGGAGCCGTCTGGGGGCTCTCTTGAGCATCCCTTAGGCATCTCTTGGGGCTCTCTTGGGCCATCTTGGAGCCATCTTGAGGCCTAGGAGGGCCATCAGAAGCGAAATGGTGATAAGGCACAAATAATTTATTTCCCCAGGGGTCTAAAGGCTTTGGGCCTTTTGAGGCCGCCTTGGAGGCTCCGTGGCCTCTTGAAGCCGTCTTGGAGCGGTCTGGTGGACCTTTTTGCGGTATGCCGAAAGCCACCTTCTCGAGCCATCTTGGAGGTCATCCCTGAGGCCCTCCTGGAGCCGTCTTGGGCCAGAGAAGGCCCTCTGACACCTCGCGGTCCCTCCCCTCCAGGCCCAGAAGAGGGGCCAGGTTGAAGGGTAAACCCCTCCCCGAATGGGAAGAAGGGGAAGGTGGAGGAGGCAACGCTCTAAACCACTCACGCTCATAGGGCTGGTGGGATTCCGTATACAGCATGCAGAATTTACCGGTATAAGTGGAAATTGCGGATTGGCATGTACAGACGGGCGCACATGTGAAGAGACCTTTCTGCATCAGGAAGAAGCGGACCCAGGCTCCGACAGTGATGAGGACGAGAACCACGGCCTGGAGGAACAGCTCACCGAATGGATCTCGCAGGACCTCTTATTATTTTATCGCTGCCAGTCACTTCTTGCACTCGGTGTGCTGGTCACCGGAGCCACGTCCAGTCTGACCTTCTGGGTATGCCCGTTCGCAGGGTGATGTGTGCCCAATTACTTGGTATCGCTCGGACGTGTGCACTTTTTCTCGGCGGGGCTTATTGAGGAGCACCCTGGACCATCCTGCGAAAAAACCACGCACGAAACCAAAAAAAGCACAGGGAATGGACGTCCGAGCGACGGGGAGATTAGGGTGTAAACGAATCCGTTGCCATTTTGGCTCGAGCCGCGCGAGCTCCGCGGCGCTCGGCATGTGGCCGCCGCCCCTTCCGCTGCGCTCACGGCGTCGGCGCCGCGGGGCTTCATGCAGCCTGGTGGGCAGCTGCCGGGCGCCGTCACCGACACTCCCCGGGACAATGGCTTTTCGATGCCCCCGGGCGACGCCGCTGCCGGGGAGGCACCTCTGCCGACAGGAAGGACGAGTCGGCCTTCTTCAAAAGCGTCACTTTCTGTGCCGATGGCGGACAAGGGAGGGAACGGTTCGGACTCAGACGCGCGCGCCAGCTCGCTGAAGTCGAACCCAGGCAAGCACTTAGAGGCGCCGAGGAGTTCGGCGAGGTCGGATGCGAGGCCTTCGACGAGGCCTTCTACGAAGTCGGAGGTGAAATCCGTGGATTGGCTCAGCAGACTGTCATTTGCGAGTGGGATGAAGTGGACCGAAGTGGGGTGGCGCTCCATCGGCCATCAGACCAGGGACTTCGTGGACGCGATGGGGGGCGAGGACGTGGGTGTCGCTTTCTGCACCCGAGCCGCCGTCCACGACGGGGCCGGTATGCCCAGCAAGAGAAACATGCGCGCGTTATCGAGGGTGTTCGAGGAGAGCGAGGACGCGACAGATTCAGCTGCGGCGACCAAGAGGAAGTCTGGCGAGCTGCCCCGGAGGCGCAACGTGATGTATCCCAGCACCTGCTCCTTCGCGGTCCGCACGGAGCGCTTGCTGAAGTGCTCTGCTCTGGCGTCGGCCGTCTACGTGTCTGGGGTGTCGGCCATGGAGCCCGTCTGCATGCCGTCTGAGGCTGGTGACGTCTGGCGGAGGTTCGGCGAGTCGCGGTGGAGGTTCGAGGCCATGCTTGCCGCCGCCTCTGCATTCAACGCGGTCTTCTACTGCTTTTCGTGCCTTTTCACCCGGCTGCTGTTCGGCCGCGTGGACACATGCAAGGATGAGGAGCTCGTTCACTTGTCAGACGTGTTGCGAAGCCACCTCGGCTCTCTGGGCTTGTGGATGGACGTGCTGTCTATGATCGGGGCAGTGGCCGAGTGCGTCCACTTGTGGGAGGAGGCTAGCGATGGCACGCCAACCGCAGCGCAGTGGTTCATGATGCTGCAGATGGGCAAGTTGTGGCGGGTGCTATTGCCTGAGCTGCCTGCGCAGACGAAGGCGGAGAGCTACTTATTCCTGCGAGGCGTCGTGTGGATATTTCTGCAGTTGTTCCTGTTCGCCCATTTCATGGCTTGTGCCCTCATGGTCGTAGGCATGTTCGAGCAGAATTCCGGCAGCAAGAGCTGGACGGAACAATTGCAGCCTCTTGAAGTCGGTTGCGCCGTTACTTATGCTGAAGCCATCTATTTTGCCGTGATCAGTCTCACGTCGGTTGGATACAGCGACATGCTGGTGACGACGCGTGAGCGGGCCGTCAACACGGTGTTCTTGCTGCTGGCGCAGCTCTTCTCCGCGAAGGTCTGCGCGGACCTCACATGGCTGACCTCCACGCACAACCACTGGGAGGCGCAGAACCAGGCTAAGCAGGCGCAGACCTGGGTGGCGCTGTGCAAGATGGAGGTTCCTTGGATCGTCGCCAAGCGTGTCCTCGCCTTCCAGAGTTACGTCGCCAACGTGCACAGGGAAGACTTGGCGCAGTCTGCGTTTTCAGGCCTATCAGACAATCTCATCAAAGAGCTCCGGCTTTGCGCCTACCGAAAGCTCGTCATCCAAGCGCCTTTTCTCCGGGAGCAGACGAAGGAAGTGATCGGCAACATCGTCGGAGCCTTGCGCGACGCGGTGTACCTGCCCGCCGACTTTATCGTTCGCGCAGGCGAGAAGGGGCGCGAGCTCTTCTTTATTCGCCGCGGGACATCTGCCGTCTACGTTGGCAAGGATCCGCCCACTTGGGGAAAGAGCGAGTCGGTCATGAACTACACCGCGGGAAATTATTTCGGTGAGTTGGCCATGCTTACAGGCCGTCCACGTGCCGCATGGGTCATGGCTACGAGTTATTCGGTGTGTTCTTCTTTGTTGTTCAGCGACGTGGAGAATCTAGGAAAAGAATTTCCAGGAGCATTTACAAGAATGATACACTCCATCGTGGACCAGTTCCAGCTGAAGCCATCCATGCAGTGGGCAGATGTGGCGATGCGGATTCACGAGAAGCTGGGCTTCGAAACTATCGAGGAGGCGTTCGAGTGGTTTACCGATCAGGGCGGCATGCAGTGCGATGACGAGATGAACGCCAAGGCGTTCGACGAGGCCCTGCGCCGGCTGAAGGTGCCAGAGCTCGACCGGAAGATTTTCTGGGCCACCATCGATACCGACAACAGCGGCTTCATCACCATGGACGAGTTCCGCGCGCAGCTGGCCCCCACATGGGACTCGGACCGCGTGAGGGCCGCGGAGGCCTCGCAAGCTGGCGGCGCTGCTGGCTGCTCCGACAGCAGCCGCATCATCTCGCGCAGTCGCACTGACGACCTGCTCAGCCCAAAGAACGCTCACACCACTGGCATGGAGTCCGATCCCACGGCTGCAGCGCAGGCGGGCGCCGTTGCCGCCGCGCGGCTGCTGCGAGAGGTGCAGAGGGAATTGAAGGAGAGCCGTGAGCAGGCCCGGCAGCTGACCGAGGAGGTGCGCGCGCTGCAGTCACTGCAGGAGCAGCAGGCACCATGAGTGCTTCAACGAGTGAGCGCGTGCCACTAGTCGAAGCATAGTGCTGTATCTTTATTTGCTTCCGGTAGTCTCGAGACCACAACTCCGACCGCGGAGCCCGCCTGACCCGTGAATATTCTCAGAGCTGCCTTGCAATGTTGGATCGAGCATTAAAGCGGGACTGGACTGCCGAGCATGGCATCTAGTTTGTTACCTTTGGGCATGAAGCAGTATTGGCGTGCGACCTCGTCTATAACGATTCGCACCCAGCTGTGGTAGGAGTGCTGGCCATGTTTACTCTAATTTCAAAGTCTTACGCTCTTGCTATCCTAGTGCTGACAGGGCGTCAAGTTTCACCGAATTGACCGATCGGACATCAGGCCGGCCATGGCTACAATATGCAGCCGACTGGCTGATCTAGTCCTTTGTGTACCGCTCCCTGGGCGCGTTCCATCTCGACACATTGTTGCCTCGTTCCGTCTTGTTCTATCTTGCCGCGCCCTGGCCTGGCCCTCCTCGTTCGATTTCCTCTGCCACGTAGGCCTGGCGTGCCTCACTCGCATCAGGCACTTGCGGTCGCCATGCGCTGGTTACCGTGTGTGCGGCCATTAGACCGGTTCTGTGTTCGCAACATTGCCCCATCTGCCTTTGCCAGTTTCAGCTGGGTGACAGTTGATTGAACGCATTTGGCCATTGATTCCTTACGCTACATTGTGCTGAGCCTCCGCGCGAAAAAAAAACAAAATTAGGATGTAAACGAACGATCGATCATCTGATGTCATCTGGACCTTGCGCGCGACTTGCGAGTCAGAAGACATGCTCGAGAATTGCCCCTACTCCTGGCCCAGTTCTTCGCGCTGCCTCCCCCAAGCCACAGGCAAGGTGATGGTCATGGTAGGGCGGGGCTGGGGGAAACTATAGGCTCGGGATCAGTCCACGCAGCGCCACAAAGAAGCCCTGATCAGGCGAGTGATGTTTCGCCTGGCCGGCTCCGTGCTGGTAGGCGCGCGGGTCCGAGTGCCAGGCCATTCCGCACTTGTGGACGCACGGGTCCGGGCGCCCCCTTCACAAGATCCCAACACGGTCTGCGCCTGAGGAGGGCGCTTCTTGGAACATCATTTCTTTCAGTCCGCTGTTGTACAGAGGGGGAGTGGGCGGAGCCTCAGAGTTTTCTTGCAGTTTGGCATGGTTTGGTTTCGGTTGGCGGCGCGTCCCACCCGCGGAATTTGTTGTGAGGGCTCATCCTCTCATGCCAGGGCTTAGGAATACATCCAGAGGGCCAGAAGGTACCCGAGGACGTGCCGATGGAAGTCTTAGTATCAGAGTGAGGGGGCTGAACCGAACGGTCATTCACTGTCCCTGGGTGCGTGGCTGAAGTGGAATTCCGCGATGCGGATTAGTGTTGTTGTTGTTGTTGTTGTTGTTGTTGTTGTTGTTGTTGTTGTTGTTGTTGTTGTTGTTGTTGTTGTTGTCGTTGTCGTTGTCGTTGTCGTTGTTGTTGTTGTTGTTGTTGGTGTTGGTGTTGTTGTTGTTGTTGTTGTTGTTGTTGTTGTTGTTGTTGTTGTTGTTGTTGTTGTTGTTGGTTGTTGGTTGTTGTTGTTGTTGTCGTTGTCGTTGTCGTTGTCGTTGTCGTTGTCGTTGTTGCTGCTGCTGCTGCTGCTGCTGTTGTTGTTGTTGTTGTTGTTGTTGTTGTATTCTCATGTCTGAAGAATAATTATTGTTGATCCCCCCCCCACCGGTGCATACTGTTTTTTCTCCATCAAAGTGTGCCCCTCGACGCTCGCACCCTGTTCTGTGACAGGGAAAGTCTTCTTGCTCAAACTGGTCCCCTGGCCCCCGGGTTACAACAACAACGGCTCCCGCCTGAGACTTCCTTACAATTTAGCCAGGACCCCCGCTCGTGCCCGAGACTTCCTCGCATTCTATTCAGGAATCGCGCTCTCGCTTGGGACTTCCTTGCGATTTATTCAGGAATCGCTCTCCCGGCGCTCTGGAGTCGTGCTCTCGCTGGAGACATGCTTGCAACTTACTGAAGAATGGCCTTGCGTTGGAATTTCTTGCAATTTGCCCAAGCGCCGCGCTCCCGACACCCAGGCACCCAGGAATCGCGCCCGTTGTGGCCCCATGTGCATGCCCTTCGTGGCCCCGCTGTCGCCATTTGTGTCCCCCTCACTGTCCTACGTGGCCCAGTTGCTACCCTCAGTGGCCCCATAGTTGCCTTCTGTGGCCCCGCATTATCTGCACTTCGTGGCCCCCGCTCGTTCGCGCTCTTCGTGGCCCCATACGCATTCCCTTCGTGTCCCCGCTGTCGCCCGTCGTGGCCTACTTCGTGCCCTTCGTGGCCCTGCTGTCGTTCTCTCTCGCTCTCGCTTTCGCTCGTCGTCGCCGTCGTCGTCGCCGTCATCTTCGACGTCGCCGTCGTCGCCGCCGCCGTCGTCGTCGTCGTCGTCGTCGTCGTCGTCGTCGTCGTCGTGGTTGGTCCCCTGTCCGTCCCTCTTGGGGTCAGGTCGACGGTCCGCGGCCGCCCCGCCGATCAGCGCTGCCGCTGGCCAGGCCGACGGTCCGCGGCCGCCCCGCCGCTTGCCGGGGCCCGGCCTGCAGGGAAGAAAGGTATACCCCCCAAAAGGGGTTCGATCGAAGACGAAGAGGGCGGGTATCGAGGGTTTGGGAAATACGCGTTATTGGACATTCGAGCATATAAGGGCGATCAGTCTTAAAATTATTGCTGTTGTTGTGTCGTTGTCGTTGTCGTTGTCGTTGTCGTTGTTGTTGTTGTTGTTGGTGTTGTTGTTGGTGTTGTTGGCGTTGTTGTTGGTGTTGTTGGTGTTGTTTTTGTAGTTGTTGTTGTTGCTGCTGTTGTTGTTGTTGTTGTTGTTGTTGTTGTTGTTGTTGTTGTTGTTGTTGTTGAACTCTAATTATTGAAGAATAATTATTGTTGATCCCCCCCCTCCGGCGGACATTGTATTTTTTCAATTGAAGTGCCCCTTCCGGGGCTCGCACCTTGTTTTTTATCAGGGAAAGTCGTGGGCATCAAACTGCGTTGTTGGCCCCCCGGACAACAACAACAACGGCTCCCGCCTGATACTTCCTCCAAATTTACTCAGGACCCCCGCCCCCGCCTAGGACTTCCTCGCAGTTTACTCAGGCGGAGGCGCTCCCGCCTGAGACTTCCTCGCGAATTACTCCGGACCCCCGCCCCCGCCTGGGACTTCCTCGCAGTTTACTCAGGCGGAGGCGCTCCCGCCTGAGACTTCCTCGCAAATTACTCCGGGAGCGGCGCTCCCGCACGGGACCTCCTTCACAACTGAGCATCAAACTGTGTTGTTGGCCCCCCGGACTACAACAACAACGGCTCCCGCCTGATACTTCCTCCAAATTTACTCAGGACCCCCGCCCCCGCCTGGGACTTCCTCGCAGTTTACTCAGGCGGAGGCGCTCCCGCCTGAGACTTCCTCGCACATTACTCCGGGAGCGGCGCTCCCGCCTGGGACCTCCTTCACAACTGAGCCCTGCTGAACTCTCAATACTGAAGAATAATTCTTCTTGATCCCCCCGTGTCCCCCGGCGGCGGCGGCGGCGGCGACGACGACGACGACGACGGCAGCGGCAGCGACGCTCACAACACTTTTTCGGGGGTCCTTTCTGCAGGTTCCCGTCGCCACGGCCGGGCGCCGCTCGAAACAATTGTTCCGAGGACACCGCCCAGCCGCCCAGGGACACGTGTGCAGCGTATCTGCGGTAATCCAGGATCGGCGCTCCCGCCTGGGACTCTCCCTCCTCTGTTTCGGGGGCGGGCCCTCCGCCCCCGAGACTGCGGGAGCCTGTGCGGTCTCTCCACGGCCGGTCCCCGGGCGGCCTCCCCGGGTCGGCCTCCCACCTCCCTCCCTCCTCCCTCCTCCCTCCTCCCTCCTCCCTCCTCCCTCCCCTCCTACCTCCCTCCCTCCTCCTCCCTTCTCCCTCCCCTCTCCTGCCTCCCTCCTCCGTCCTCCCGTCTGCCTCCTCCCTCCCCTCTCCTGCCTCCTCCCTCCTCCCTCCTGTTTCTCCTCTCTCCTTCCTCGTCCCTCCTCCAAACTCCCTCCTCCCTCCCTTCCTCCCCCCTCTCTCTTTCTCTCCCTATCTCTCTCTCTCTCTCTCTCTCCCTCTAAATCGTCCTCCCCCCTCCGCGTCCCGTCCCTCCTAGCATCTTCCCTCCTCCCTCGTCCCTCCCTGCTCCCTTCCCTCCTCCCTCGTCCCTCCGCCCGCCCTTCCAAAGAGAAATAATCCCCCTAAAGGGGGTACGTTCGAATACTAATAGGGCGGGTATCGAGGGTGTGCCTCGTGATTCATTCAGGATTCACCCTTTAGTCACCCGCCCGCCAGGTTTCGCCCGGCCGATCCGCCTGTTACAGCCCGCCCGTTCGCTCTCTTGGCATCTCGCCCGCCCGCTTTAAGCCACCGCCCGCCCGACCCGCCAGCGAGGGTCCGCCGCCCGACCCGTCCGTTGGCGTCCGCCCGCCCCGCCAGCCCGACCCGCCCCTCAGAGTCCGCCGCTCGACCCGTCTGTCTGGTTCGTCCGTTTGTTTACCTCCTCTTTTGCCCCCCTCCCCTCCTGCTAACCTCTTTCGTCCTCCATCCATCCTCCCCCCCTTGCCCCTTCCCTCCTCCCTCCCTCCCCCCACTCTTTTCCTCCTCGCTCTCCCTTCCTCCTTCCCCCTGCTCTTCCTGTTTTAGGGGCTGCGCCAACTACACGTGGCGAGTAAAAAAGATATACTCCCAAAGGGGTATGACCGAAGACGAAGAGGGTGGGTATCGAGGGTTTGGGATTTACATATTGAGTGACGCGCGCGCATATAAGAGCGATCAGTCTTAAGATGATTGTTGTTGTTGATGTTGATGTTGATGTTGATGTTGATGTTGTTGTTGTTGTTGTTGTTGTTGTTGTTGTTGTTGTTGTTGTTGTTGTTGTTGTTGTTGTTGTTGTTGTTGTTGTTGTTGTTGTTGAATTCTCATTCCTGAATAATTGTTGTTGATCCCCCACCGGTGCATATTGTTTTCTCTCAATCAAAGTGTGCCCCTCGACGCTCGCACCTTGTTTTTTTGACAGGGAAAGTCTTGTTGCTCAAACTGGGCCCCTGGCCCCCGGGTTACAACAACAACGGCTCCCGCTTGAGACTTCCTTACAATTTAGCCAGGACCCCCGCTCGTGCCCGAGACTTCCTCGCATTTTATTCAGGAATCGCGCTCTCGCTTGGGACTTCCTTGCGATTTATTCAGGAATCGCTCTCCCGGCGCTCTGGAGTCGCGCTCTCGCTGGAGACTTGCTTGCAACTTACTGAAGAATAGCCTTGCGTTGGAATTTCCTGCAATTTGCCCAAGCGCCGCGCTCCCAACACCCAGGCACCCAGGAGTCGCGCCCGTTGTGGCCCCATGTGCATGCCCTTCGTGGCCCCGCTGTCGCCATTTGTGTTCCCCCTCACTGTCCTACGTGGCCCAGTTGCTACCCTCAGTGGCCCCATAGTTGCCTTCTTCGGCCCCGCATTATCTGCACTTCGTGGCCCCCGCTCGTTCGCGCTTTTCGTGGCCCCATACGCATTCCCTTCGTGTCCCCGCTGTCGCCCGTCGTGGCCTACTTCGTGCCCTTCGTGGCCCTGCTGTCGTTCTCTCTCGCTTTCGCTTTCGCTCGTCGTCGCGTCGTCGTCGTCGTCGTCGCCGTCGTCTTCGACGTCGCCGTCGCCGCCGTCGTCGTCGTCGTCGTCGTGGTCGGTCCCCTGTCCGTCCCCCTTGGGGTCGGGTCGACGGTCCGCGGCCGCCCCGCCGATCAGCGCTGCCGCTGGC